CATCAATCATTGAATGTATAACTTAACTTAACGCACGCTATAGTATACAAACAAATTAAATAATTGGGCCTTCTAATTACCCAAATAAACTTCAAAGATTGGGCCCGTGGGAGCCCATCATATATCCATATACTAACACCCTCACTCATCGCATTCGCATCTCTCCTACTCCTTGTGTTCAAAACCCTAGCTTTTCCATTTTTCTGCAGGTACCCTACGCCGCTCTCATGGTATGTCCTCGCCGGAACCCTAATCTATGTTTTTCTTAATTTTCTTTTTTTGCTAATGCACTTCTTTTCTTTCATCTTCACAGGGTATAGATCTTGTTGCCGGTGGTAAGAGCAAGAAAACCAAAAGAACCGCTCCTAGATCCGATGATATCTACCTGAAGCTCCTCGTCAAGGTTTCCACACACACMCCTCAGTTATCAGCCTCTTTACCTTCACAAAACATCATGCCGAAATCTAAATCTATGTTTTTGTTTTAATTTGATCAGCTTTATCGGTTTTTGGTGAGGAGGACAGGAAGCAGCTTCAATGCTGTGATACTGAAGAGGCTCTTTATGAGCAAAATCAACAAGCCTCCAATTTCTCTTTCTCGTCTGATTCGTTACATGGCTGGCAAGGTGTTTGCTTACAACTCTTTTTTATATCTAGATAATCATTTCATTGATTAGGGAACTACTCCTTCGTAGAACAGAGCACCCGTTTTTAGATTAGTTATTTTAAAAATGAATTAAGCTATAKATTATGTTGTAAATTTAGTGTTAACAATATTCCGTTTGCATCAATTTCTCTAATTGCATTACTATGTGTAGTTATATTTTTTTCCTGTTAAAAAGCATAAATCTCATATTCATTGATATTGTAAAGGAATCTTGTTACCTGCAAACTGTGCAGCTAATTTGTCCAACAGAGGGATTACAAAGAATTTATATGCTCTATGATCATGAAACACTGGGATGAATGTAGTGTTCAATGGTTATGATATAACAAGTGTGTACTTGGTAGATTTTGGTCTGTTTGTATGTTTCTGGCTCGATTTTAGTTATAACGGTTTATTTTGTTTAATCAGGACGATAAGATTGCAGTGATTGTTGGCACAGTAACAGACGATGTTAGGGTGCATGAAATCCCCTGCCTCAAGGTAACTGCACTGAGATTTACTGAGACTGCAAGGGCAAGGATTGAAAAGGCTGGTGGAGAATGTTTGACATTTGATCAATTGGCTCTTCGAGCTCCTCTTGGACAGAACACTGTATGCGATCTTATCTCAGTTTATTTATAATTAATCTTTTTAAAAACCACATCTTATTTAGTTAAGAGTGCATAGCTTATTGAACTATTTTTGTAAACATGTTTCAAACAACCAAAATRCTTGCAAAATGTAGAAAGAAAATTATTACAAGCACAAGAAAGTAAAAAAAACCCTCTAAAATTGCTTCAAGTTTGTATTTTTATTAGTTTCTGTCAGCATGTGTTTCACAAGAAAGTTACTGAAAATTAGCTGTGTTCCCTGCARTGTGTGGAATTGCCTGTCACAGTTAAGGCAGGTGGATTATTTTTTGAGAGTGGTTCTATGGTCATGCTGATTTGCAACATCAAAAATTATCATATGCTGTGCGTCGTTGGTAAAATGACCAATGATCTATAATTTAGTGCTGAACGATTTGCTTTAACAGTGTCTCAGTGTCCCTCTGTTTTACAAAATTATATGCAATCTCAATTTGATTTCGCAAATATAATCACCTACCTTAATTAGCATTTGTGATACAAATGATCTYCTGAACAACAAATGGTAGTTCTGGACTTGTGTATGATTTTGGAGCATGCAGATAATCTTTTCWTTTGCATGTTTTTTGTGATCTTTGAATCCTTGCCCTTGGCAACACARAGGTGAAAGTTGGTCCTCCAAGCTTGTTATATATTGCACTGGTTCAGTCGATTTCTTTGTTTCTGACAGGTTATTTATGGGTTGCTGCATACTGGCTACCCCCTCRCTTAGCTATATACATTTTATCTTTTTGCATTTACCTCTATTGTTGGGTGCCAACACATATTCTTTTCTSACTGACGTCTTGAGCATCATTCTCAATATTTTTTTGTTAATTTTGTAAGAAAGTTTTTTAGTAGGTAAACAGAGTAGTTTCTGATATGGTTTGGTTGGTTGTTTTAGGTTCTTCTTAGAGGACCAAAGAATTGCCGTGAAGCAGTTAGGCACTTTGGTAAGGCTCCTGGTGTGCCACACAGCCACACCAAGCCCTATGTGAGATCAAAGGGAAGGAAATATGAGAAGGCTCGAGGTAGAAGAAACAGCAGGGGATTTAGAAACTAAAATGGTTCTCCATGAATCGTTTCCGAAGATTTGTCTCCCAGATTCCCWATATCATGTTCTCTATCAAACCTTTAGCTGTTGTTTGCTTTACTTGCTATGATGAAAATTTTGCTTTTGTACTCTGGATTGYGTTGAAAGATTTGTTGGATGATTTTAGATATTGATGTTTTTATGTTCAGTATATCCAAGCTTGGTTACTTGATTTCAGTTGCCATTGTTTAGCAGAAAGTAGGGATATCTGTTGTATATATACAGGGAGTGAATTTGATTGAAAGTATTAGAAATATCTGAAGAAAACACGTTTTAAAAGTGTGATTATTTGCAATTGATTGGGATAGGGTACATGATGGCATCGTATCATGTGTTTAGGTCGACGAAAAAGAAAAAGATGATTGCATTTAAAACATGGAAATGAAGTCGTAAATGTGGTGGTTGATCTGTTGTGGCTTCTCTTGGTTGATGAAGTGACCAACATCTTCCATGACAACAACTTGCTCCAATCCTCGTACGGCTTCCTTGAATCCACCACCGTGTATGTATTCCTTTATTCCTGGAACGTTATACGTCATATCCAACTCCCCCACTATGAACTTCACCGGCACCGTTATCTCTTTTCCCGTCCATGCGGCACACAGCTCCCAGTTTCTGCAATCGATATACATATTGTGTGTGTATATATATAATATAAAAAGAGAGACAGACAGAGAGGGAATTGGTTTGTAAATACAATACATACAGATCGAAACAACGGTAGTAATTGAATGGTCCAGCAAATCCGGTGGCACGAAATTTGGATGCAAAGTAGTCGAGGTCTTGTTGGGTGAACCAGGAAGGTAAGGCGTATGGAGGTGGTGAAAACAAGTTTGCAAAGTCTCTAGGCATCTTTGGTGGGGTTGGAATTCGTTTGAAATAAAAGGAGGCCAGTAGTCTTTTCGTATCAACTTTTGCAAACTCTTCTTCCCATCCAGTTTCCTGTAAAACAAAAATTAATTTATGGAATGCATACATACATACATACTTACATACATACATACATACATACATACATACATACATACATACATACATACATACATACATAAGCAGCTATAGGAAAATTAAGTGATGACCTGGAACCTGCAGATGTAGAAATCGTCACCGAATGTATGTCGCATGAAGTCCAGTGGTTTGACTGAAGGATTCCTGGGATTATAAACGACGCTCATGTTGACCAAAGCCTTGATCCGGTCAGGGCGAAACAAGGACAGGTACCAGGAGATGATGGCACCCCAGTCATGACCCACCACGAAAACCTTGTCCAAACCCAAGGCGTCAAGCAAGCAGACCAGGTCTCCGACGATGTGAAAGGCRGTGTAGCTGGTGGAAGAAGGCGGGGCTTCCGTATCACCAAACCCACGAAGGTCAGGTGCGATGGCATGGTAACCTTTGGAGGATAAATACATCATCTGGTGGCGCCATGTGTACCATAGCTCGGGGAAACCGTGCACCAAAAGCACGGGGGGGCCTTGTCCGATCTGGGCAACATGCATGTTGATGCCATTGACTTTGATGTTGGTATGCTGTATATTCTCCATGGGTGGGTGAGTGTGGTGTGCAGGGATGGATGCTAATATTTAAGCCTGGTTTCCATCTTTAATGAAAAGAAAAAGAAGGCTGGAAAGCGATTGGAAGATAATATTATGTAAAAGTGTGTATTCCCAGACCCACCTTCTTTTTTTTATTTAATTTATAATCAAAAGATGAAGAAATATAATAATTAATAATTAATAATTGATTGGTGAAGAAGGCGTATCTATTTCTTCTCTTTACCACTGATCCTTTGACCTTAATTATCTTTGGTAATGTATTCTCCTTCCTTCCATTTTCATCCAACAACAAATCAACTGGTTTCACAATTCATCATGATCATTCCCACCTCCAAATCTTTCTTCTTCCTCAATCTCATCATGCAGCTCGGCCATGCCGCCAGGGTCTCTCAACCGAACCAAGTCACGGCTGCAAAGGCATGCCAAGAAGCTGCCGACGTGCCCTTGTGCCTTGACCTCCTCAACTCTCGACCCCAAATCAATGACTTGAAACAGGCRGCCTTCGTTGCATTTCAGGCTGCATCCGCAGAGGCTGTTCAAACGTCGCAGTTCATAAAGAGCACGAGAGAAAAGGAGGAGGGTAAGGAGGTGACGGAAGATTCTATAGAAGAGGAGACGTTGGCGGACTGTAGCCAAAACTACGGAAGCATAGCGGAGATAATGGCAGAAGCGACGAATGCCCTGATGAGCGGGCCGGAGGCAGACGTGAGTGTTGAGATAAAGGCGGCAATAGCGACGGCGGAGACGTGTGGCAAGAGCATCAGGGAGGGGAAGAAGAGTCGTCAGGTAGAGGAAGTGGCTAAGAAGAACGAACATGTAATCAAGTTGTGCTCCAATGCTTTGAGCGTCTACAACGTCTATGCCACCACTTGACAACCGCATTCATTAATTTGTGTATCAAATCTTTTTCCGTTACTTTTTATTCTTTCAAATGATATACATCTCAGCTCCGCTCAGCTCCTCATAAGTAAAAGTAAAAAAAGTAAAAGTAAAAGTAAATAAAAAGTAGATGGTGTTTCAGAAATGCATAATAATTGATTTGATACAAAATTTTAATTAATACTTTCCACCACCATCAAGCAATTGGAAAYAAATTATATATGTGGAAAGAATGATGAAAGTGCATGTGATATAGCAAACCAACTCATTTTTCTTTTTTCTTTTTTCTTTTTCTTTTTCTTTTTTATTTATAAAACAATTGATATATATTTCCTTTTTAGTTCTCTCTCTCTCTCTCTATATATATATATATATATGAATAACATAGTGAAAAGATAAATTTAATAATTATGGATATCATACAAACTCAAAATCATATATATATATATATATACCCACTGATTAAAACCTTTGTTTTCCTTGGCAATTAATTAAGGTCTGGAAAGAAAGTATTTAGAAGAAAAAAATTTACATTAATATATATGTACGTATAATATGTATGTATGTAAGTTGATAAAATGAATATATGTATATATTATTATGAGAGGGTTTACCTCTTAATTGGAAAGAAATTAATAACTACTACCCGTTTCCTTCTTATACACATCCTCTACATTAAATGAATGAAAGCGTACACTAATCAGTTTGTAGAAGAGAATCAGAATCAGAATCAGAATCATAAGCCACCGTCATAAGGCACTCCTGTCTGYGGTATGAATTCATCTCCAGGAATAAACATAGACGCCGTGAAGTTACTCGCTTCCGTTGCATTTATGATATGAAATCCTTCCCAATCAACTCTCTCCCTCGTATCCGATCCCGGCCCTGAATTCTCAAACTCCGCATAATACGACGTATTCAACGCAAATTCACCAGACCATGCTCGCCATCCTTCTCCATCTATMGATGAATCCATGAACGTCTTCATGTAAACTGTTCTTGAATACTCTTTCCATGGTCGCCCTAAATACGTCTTGGTGGAACCCAAGTCTTCCGCCGCCTGGATATTACAGTTTTGGATGCAAGTCCCCGTGTTCTGACCTGGGTCTGTTCTGCCTTGTGCTGTGATGGCGTTGAATTGCCCCGACATCGGCTGCCGAGGATAAAGGTTACACTTTTGGAAAACAACCGCTGCATTCCCGAATATGAAATCCACGGTGCCGTAAACGTCGCATTCTCGGTAAAACTGTCGCAGGGAGTGTGCGTATAAGGTGTCTTGGTAACCTTCGAAGCTGCAGCTGTAAAATGTGGATAAATCGGCTCCATTTCGTAATGCCACAGCTTGGTGTTTTATTGCTCCGGCCGTGTTACGGATTGTTATATTGACCGCCACGAAGTAGGGCGCCGTCACGACTGCAGATTAACATACATATATTGAAAATGTCAGCTTTTTTTTAATTTAATTAAATGAATGAAACAAGTCTTGTAATCAATGCATGATCTTCTTACTGAATGTAGCAGAATTGAAAGTTGTCCAGCCATCTACGACGCTGTGGTTCCCGGTGATGACAGTCTGGTTGATGCCATCTCCGATGATCATGAGATACAACTTGTTCTTGGGAATGTTGACGTACTCCTCGTAAACACCTGCAGTCACGTAAATCATGAAGTATCCATCGGCAGCTTCAGATTTGTTTGGAGCTATGTGAATGGCTTCGGTGATGGTGGTGAAATTGCCAGACCCATCTTGGCTGACAACCACAATATCACTGACAACAACCTGATCGTCGGCCTGAAGAAGCTTTCTTTTTCCCACCGTCTCGAAGATGGCTTTGGTTTTCTCAGACATTTTTAGAGGCAGGCGTCCGTTGTGAAAACCAATATGTTTCTTACGAGGAAGGAAAGATTTAGTTTTGTTGTTGGGATGACCCCATCCTCTGTTGAACAAAGCCAAGGAGACACTAAAGAGTTTGTTATCATTAGCAAGAGGTGCCAAAATGCCATTTTTGGAGGTCCAAGAAGAKGAAGTGGCTTGGACACCATCTATGCATGTTTGGGTGTTGGTTAAAATGGCACTGAGCATGGTCTGGATGTCTTGTGAGTTGAGAGGGGAAAGTGCAGTTTGGGGTTTGGCGAGAGTTTGGAGTGTGTTTTGGAGGAAGTCAATGTTGAGTTGGGCTAAATAGTGGCAATCTTGAAGAGCACGGATGGCAGGTGTAGTTAAAGTGGAAGAGCGGGTGAGGGATTTAGTAATGAAGGTGGAGAATTTGGTGGCGGCAGATATGGATTTACGGAGGGAGAAGCGGCCGTAGTCGAAGACGTTGGCAGAGGAGTTGGTGATGGGAAGGGATGATCGGCAGAATGATGGGTAGAGGGTGTATTGGCAAACGGTGGGGGTGGGGGTGGGGGTGGCGGTGGCGGAGGAGAGGAGGGAGAGGAGGAGGAGGAGGGGGGTAAGCATAGCCATGGAGGAAGTGAAAGTTGATGTGTGAAGGAAGGAAGAAAGGGTGATATGTTATTTATATATAGCAAGGGGAAGAAGATGTAAAGAAGTCAAAGGGTATGCATGGGAATTGAATTGAGGAGGYGAAAGCGCGTTCTATAGTTTGGTTGGTGGCGACGACCCAACTTGTCAATTCTTCTTGACTAGTATATATTTTATTGTATTCTTCTTTTTTTTTTGATATGAAATTAGGCACGACACACAATTTTCTTTTATATGCATATAWATAATTTGGCAAACCATTACCAAACTAATGAACGAAGAGGTTGGACTTGATTCATTTGGATTTGGTATGGTACCCCAATCCAAGTTTGGAGCAACCGCAGTTTCCAACATCTTTTTTATTTTCTTAATTTCTTCCCCTAGCTAGCTAGCTAATGTTAATTTAATTTGGAAAGAAAATATAAAAGATATCATATATGCATCCTCATTCATTTTAGATGAGAAGATAAAAATATTTTATATAATTAACTTCATATATATTAAATAGCTTTATTAATTAATATATCACATTAATTCACTTAATCAACAATCTTTTTCATTAACTTTAAACACAAATTAATTCCTATTTTTTAGTTCTAACCTAATCATTAGTAATTAAATTAAAAAGGTGTCGATCCGTGTAATAATAATTCTTTTAACACTATCTCTCTCTCTCTCTCTCTCTCTATATATATATATATATATATATATATATATATTTGATGTTTTCGAAGCCATATATATATATATTTCAAAAAGAAAAAGTAATTTAACTTTTAATTTAAATTTTTTTAATAGACTTCAAATTCTCAATCCTCGCAGCAAGAAGAAAAAAAAAGACGACAACAAATGAAAGAGCACCTACCATGTGAATAACTTGAAAGAAAATTGTACGAAGTTATTATTGTAGAGTGTAGACAACCAAGTATATGTGAGGGAGGTTGATGATGGGCATTGCGGTGCCAAATCTGAGGTTTCAAAAAGTCAAGCTTAACGTGTATTATAAGCTTGTCTCCACCCCCCTTTTTGCATGACTCAGTCATATATATACTACATCTACATATTCCTCTTACATTTTTATTTTATCAATTATTTAAACAATATCAAAGTAACTTTCCATAACCATGTTTTATGTGGATGTTTTTCTTAACTTGCTATGCTTGTATTATAATTATTTACATACTTCATTAGTCTCTAAAACATATATATTTCCAACTTTTAGATCCGATTGTGTTTCAACATATATATATATATATATATATAAAAGCTTAATCAAATGAGAACTGAATTGTTTGTGATAACTGTGAGAACCAATCTCAACCACATATTATAATAATCAATGAGTAAGATTAAAAAGAATCTTAATTAATGTATTTCTATAAATAAATTAATGTCATTTAATGACATTATATGAACAAGGGCAAGATGGTCATTTTGTACGTTAATATTCTTGTTCAATTGGAATCTAAATATAGTGAAGATATTTTCCTGTATTTGAGACGGAGACGATTGCCTTAAGCCCTAGAGTAATCTCAATTTGTGCTACATTGTGGTACATTTAGTGTAGATCATAATCTGTTGGAAAATGGTGTGATACATTGTGATAACATTTAGCCTTTGTAATAATATTTGACTGGACATTGTGATAATCAATTTGTGCTACATTGTGATAACAGCACCTCTGCTACATAAAATCTGCAGATGTATTAACAACATTAGTACAAATTGGTGTGATACATTGTGATAACATTCTTAAATATTATGAATACAATCTTCAACAAATATGTGTGATTTCRTGTGATTCATCAGAATAATGAACATGTTTACACAAATGGATTTATTTTTTTGAAATTATTTCACTAAATGATATTAATATTTTATTTTAAGAATGTAAATCAATATTAATTTATTTTATTTGAAACGGTTGCATTTAAAAAATTAAAATTTAATTTTAAATTAGGAATTGACTAACATACCCTTTTAATTTAATTTTAATTGTATAATTAATATGTTAAAATGATTGGTTTTCACAGTTACCACAAACAATTCAGTTCTCCTTTAAATAGGCCCCTATATATATATATGTCATTCCTAAAACATTAACATTAAATTCAAAGTCTTTGATGTCGGTACATTTACACCAACACAAACACCGACTT